CCCTCCCCCCCTCTCACCTTCTGAATCCCCATGCTTCGCCTCCCCTTGCTGACGTCCCCCCGCCCCCATCGCCGGTAGACGCCGCTCGCTCGGCCGCCTCCCCGGTCCTGTCCCCGGGCGCCGCCAAGAAGGGCGGCAAGAAGAAGTCCCCCCCTGGACCGCGACGCCCGGCTGCCTCGCCGCCGGCCAAGCCCCTCCCCCTGCCGCAGCTCCTGTCGAACCCGGATGAGCCGCTCCAGCGCTTCGATGCGGCCGAGGTCCTGGCCCAGCGGGCCATGCTCCTGGCCCTGGCGGCCCTGCAACATGCCGGGGTCTACTTCGACGGGGCCCCGGTGAACCTGCATGCCGGGGTGGTGGGCGACAGTGTGTCCACCACCGGCGCCGACACCGCTGGCGCTGACACGACCGCGGTCGCCGGCCCGGCCAACTGCGTGTCGCATGCCTTCGACTGCCGGTTCCGGCCGCTGCTGGCCCAGGCCAGCCCGCCGCCGCTGGAGTTCAAGCACTTTGCCCTGTCGACCAATCTCCATCGGCTGCTGGCCCTGTCGGGTGGCTTCAGCCAGGCGGCCCCGGTGCCGGAGGCCGATCTGGCCGCCTGCGCCGGGGTCCTGGCCTCCGGCGCCGGGACCACTCGGGGCCAGCGCCGTGCCGGGGTCCTGCGGGTCCTGGCCCGCGCTCGGGTCCTCCTGCAGGAGGCGCATGCCCAGCTGGCCGCCCTGGCTGCCCTGCCGAAGGACACGGCCACCGTCAACCCCGGGGCCGACCCGCGGGCCCTGTCGGCTGGCATTGGCCGGATCCCCCTGATGGCCTTCCCTGCCTGGCAGGAGCGCTGCGCCGGCCTGCAGGCCACCATCTCCGCGAATGTCGAGGTCATCAGCACCCTGGTGGACCTCGTCACTGCCGCCGGGGCCGCCGCATCGCCGGAGGACGCCCTCTCGGAGCCGGCGGCGCAGTTTGGCCAGTGCGACCTGCCGGAGGCCCTCTTCGATACCCGGGCCTCGCGCGTGGGCGTCCTCTTCCAGGATTCCCCCCTGGTTCCCATTCTCAAGGTGACCAGCCGCCAGTGATGTGCCATGCATTGCTGGCCCCCGAGTCCCTGGGCCAAGTGGGTGCGTCCAGTTGCCTGAGCAACGGGCCTGCCGGCCTGGCAGACATGTAAATACAATCACCTGTGTGTGTGTGTGTGTGTGTATACGTGTGCCTCTTTCTGACCGACACCCTGGTGGTGCTGCGGCTGGTCAAATGTCCGGGGGAGGGGAGGTATATTTCGAATTCGAGGGTAGGCGGATGAGAAACGCCCGGTCTGGGTGTGGTCACCTGCTGCGCTCTGCCCTTTGGGCACTCTACTGCGAGCAGGGGATCGTCATGATCACCCGGCGGGGAGGGAAGAAAGGATGGGGGCGCTCGGCCGCACAACATGGGGACACTACACTCGCTCCACAGGGGTCAGGCCAAGCAGCAAGATGCCATTGCTCAAGGTGGCGCGCGAGGCGCGGAAAAGATCCTTCGACGTTTGGAAGAGGAACAGGTTGGCCAGGAGAAGGGGATAGGGAGAGAGAGAGAGAGAAAGGGATCATGAGCCGGGAGCGGCGAAAGAGACAGACGGAGTGCATGTATGTATGTATGTGTGCGTGCGTGCGTGCGTGCGTGCGTGCGTGCGTGCGTGTGCGTACAAATCGCCACTGGGCCTCGGCTGCAGGCGCGTCCTTCACCTTGAGCTCCTGGTGGGCGGTTCCGATGCACCGACAGAGGCCGAGCAGATACTGAACCAAAATGCTGGGCTCCGAGCTGCAAAAAGGGCGCCCGGGGTCAGATGGCATACGGGGCAAGGGGGAAATCGAAGCAGGGAATGTGGCGGGGCCCCAGCAGCTCCTGATCATACCTGGCAAGCGACATGCGCAGCACCTCCGGGAAGCGGCTGACTTCCATGGCCAGCTGCACGGCGCACTCCGGCACCTCCACATCATCCGGCAGCCGGTACTGGCCTAGGTCCTGCCCAGGGGAAAAGGCCCCGGACTCCAGGAGGTTGGTGTTCGTGCGCTCGATTCTTTTTTTTTTCCCCACCCCCAAGTGCAAAGGGCAAAAGGCAATGAGTCAGCGATCTGCTGCTGCTGCACGCGCGCGTGCGGCGGAAAAAGCCAAAGGGAAATGGCCAAATGCCAAGCGAAAAGGGACGCACCCGCACAACCGCGCATGGGTATACTGAAGCAACATTCCCGTGTCGCCCTTGGGATCGGTCGCCTTGGCCCAGCAGAAGTTGTAGTTCTGCAGGAGGACAGAAGCCACGACCATGGGGTGGCGGTGGTGGTGATGGAAGTGGCCGGGGTGAAGGTGGCGGCATCGGCGGGTGAGTGGTGGAAAGGAGAAAGGCCTTGGCGACAAGAGGAGCGACGGGACCCCTCCCCCGGTCAGCACGGTACCTTGATGCGCCGCGAGGTCAGATCAGCCACCACCACCGACGACAAGCCAAGCATGGCGACAGTCGCGGCATCCGGCGGCCCGCGCGAGCCCCACTCCTCTCGGGCAAGGCACTGGCGCCGGGCCTCGGCCAGAACATCCTCCAGGAAGACGGCCGTCCCCTCGCGCGTGGACATGCCGGCCACCCGGCCAAAGCTGATATGCTCCAATCGGCTTGGAAGGTCCGATGGCAGGCCAGGCAGCAGGCCGGCAAGTTGGAAGAGCTGCTGGAAGTGCAGCTCCTGCTCGCTGCCGGCCACATACACCAACCGGTCGAACGTGTGGCTGGCATACCGGCGCATGATGGTGGCTGGGTGGAGGCCGCCAGACAGGCAGGCAGGCAGGCAGGCAGGCAGACAGGCAGGCAGGCAGGAGGGGGGAGAGTGATGGCGAGTGTTGGCGGGAAGGGAGGCAGCCGGGCAAAGGGATGAGGAGTGTTAGGGAACCCGAGGCTTGGGGCATCGGGGAGGAAGGGGCCAAGGGGAAGGGAAAAAAAGAAAGGCGAGCAATGGCGGAGGAGGCCCATGGTCTCCCCTCGAGGACCAGCAGGCAGGCCAATTGCAGGGCCACATACCGAGATCCCGCGACAGGTAGATCGAAGCACCATCGGCCTTCTGTAGGACGGCCACCTGTGGAGGCGGATCCGCGCCATCGGGGCCGGGGTGGGAGTTCTTGGCCGGGGGGACATCCACCACCAGCGCGCCATCCGATTCCCGGAGGAGGCCCTGCTGCTGGAAATGCTCCAGAACTAGCCAGGTAGCAAGGCAGAGGGTCAGCCAGTGCGAGGGGGAGGGCAAAGGGAAAAGCGGAGCTCGGGCGCGCAAGTGTGTCGCACCACGCGGTACCACCGCCTGCGATTGGGACTCGCCCTCGTAGCTGTGGAAGCTGACGCCCAGATCGCCATACACCCGCTCATAGGAGACAATCGACTGCGAGCGGAAGAGCTGCCACAGCCGGAGCGCCCGGAGCCCGTCGGCCAAGTCGGCCTCGGTCAAATGCTCCCCCTCGGCGGCCGCCTGCCGGAGAGTGGCCGCCAGATCCGAGGCATCCGGATCCCACGCGTCCACACTCACACCGCACCGGTCCGCCAGCAGGGCCGCCACACGCTCCATGGTGCTGAAGTAGCGCCGGGCCTGGGCCGCGAAGTCCGGGCACTTGGCCACCTGCGCCTGCGATGCCACATACACCTGGAACAGGTGGCGGATCGGGTCTTCCTGCAGCTTCTCCCTGCAGCCGAAGTGCTCGAAGCCGAGCGCGAGGATGCCTGCCGAAGCGCGAGCGGAAAGAAGAAACACAGGGTCAAATGGACAGCCCACATGCGAGGGAGTGGAAAGCAGCACGCACCATACTGGGTGCCCCAGTCGCCGAGGTAGTTGATGTTCAGGACTTGGTGGCCCTGGGACCGGTAGAGATTGCTCAGGATGTTGCCTGGGAGAGGGGGGGGAGGGGGGGGGGGGGCAAAAGAGGGTCCAAGGAGACAGGGAGGTGAGAGGGGAACAGAGGGGGCAGGAGGGAAGGCCGAGGTTGAGGTGACCAGAAACACACCAATGATTGTCGAGCGCAGGTGGCCCATGTGGAAGGGCTTGGCGATGTTCGGCGAGCTGAACTCCAAGAGCACCAGACTGTCAAGGACTACGACGTGCTGTGAGTGAGGAAGAAAGCAGGGGGGGGGGGGGGTATTCCTCGAGAGAGAAAAAAGGGCGACGCCGATGCCGCTGCCGGCGACAAGTGCGCGTGCGAGGAAGGAGACCGGTCGTACGCTGTGGTGAGTGGCCAAACATGGACCCCTGTTCGGCCACGCTGGTAATCACCTCGGCCAACATGCGGCGCTCATTGAGGCGGAAATTCAGATACGGCCCGGCGGCCGTGACTGTTTCGATGAATCCGGCCCCGGACTGACCCAGACTGTGGCGCATCTGTAACATGCCAACACCGGCAGGCCCGAGCAGGGCAGGGGAGAGGGTGCTCGATTAGTAGACCGCCGGCGGGTGGGAACCGGTGCCCACGGCAAGGGGCGCACCCTTTCGGCGAGCGTCGCAGCGGCTTTTGGCGGGGGGTCAAGCGGCGCAGCGGCATCCGAGCTGGCGGTGCTCCCGTCGAGTAGCAGGCGTTGATAGAGCTGGGTGTCCGTCGAGCGGAGGCGATGCAGCGGCAGGGCCCAGTGCGCACCGACCAGCCGCGTGTTTTTAGGCCGCTCCATCAGAGGAGCCAGGGCATCGATGACCGCGGCTCGGGGCGCAGGCTCTTTGGCATCGTCCGACAGTAGCTCGGCCAGAGCCGCGCCAAGCGCTGGCCAGAGGCCGAAAGAAGGGGGAGCGAGGGAACAGGACGGG